TTAGATTAAGGTTTTAGGCGAAGTCAGGACATTTCGCACGTAGCTCCGAAACAATGAGCTGGATAAGGAGATAGATTCTATCTTCTTCCTGAAACTGGCTAATGGGCAACCTTTACAAACATTCAAACTATTTCATTCAATATGACAGTTACCTCAGGTGTCTGTAGAAAAATGCACAGAGCCTGGGAAACAAGCAGGAAGGATTGGAAGTCCTTGCACACAGTCATGGAACTGAACTGAAGCGCAGCTTGAGAAGGAGGTGAGCAGCCAACGGTGGTGAAAGAACAGTTTAGGGACTATTTAGAAAAGCTGGACATGTACAAGTCCGTGGGCCTGGATGAGATGCACCCAAGAGTGCTGAGGGAGTTGGTTGATGTGACTGCAGAGCCACTGGCCGTTACCTTGAAAACTCATGGCAATTGGGAGAGGTCCCGGGCAGTTGGGAAAAGGCAAAATATAGTGCCCATCTTTAAGAAAGGGAAGAAGGCGCGTCTGATGAATTATAGACCAGTCAGCCTCACCTCCATCCCTGGAAAAATCATGAAGCAGATCCTCAAGGAATTCATTTCTAAGCACTCGGAGAAGGTGGTGGTGATTAGGAACAGTCAGCATGGATTCACTAAGGGCAAATCATGCCTGACCAACTTGATTGCCTTCTATGATGAGATGACTGGCTGTGTGGATGCAGGACATTATATACTTTGACTTGGGCAAAACTTTTGATACAGTCTCCCACAACATTCTTGCAAGTAAGCTATGGAAGCATGGGTTGGATAAATAGACTATAAGGTGGACAGAAAACTGTCTGGATAATTGAGCCCAAAGGGTAGTAATCAATGGCTCTCTCCCACCTTGGGAGGAAAAACCTGCAGCATGCTTATTGACTTGGTAGTGCTACTCTGGTTAGCACTACAGATGAAAGGGACTTGGGGGTCATGATTGACCACAAGATAAACATGAGCCTTCAGTGTGATGCTGCGGATAGTAAAGCGAGCAAAAAGCTGGCTTGCATTCATAGATGATTCTCAAGCAAATCCCGGGATGTCATTCTCCCATTGTACTCGGCCTTGGTGAGGCAGCAGCTGGAGTACTGCGTCCAGTTTTGGACTCCACAATTCAAAAAGGATATTGAGAAGCTTAAGAGAGTGCAGAGGAGAGCCAGGTGTATGATCAGAGATCAGGAAAACAGACCTTATGATGAGAGGCTGAGAGCCATGGGACTCTTCAGTCTGGAAAAGCGCAGGCTCAGGGGTGATCTGGTGGCCACCTATAAGTTTATCAAGGGTACTCATCAGGATCTGGGGGAATGTTCACTAGCTTCTAGTGAACCCTAGGGGGTTCTAGCTTCTAGTGAACCCTAGGGGGTTCACTAGAGCGCCCCAAGGGATGACAAGATCAAATGGTCACAAACTCCACCGCAACCGATTCAGGCTGGACATAAGAAAGAACTTCTTCATGGTCCAAGCCCCCAAGGTTTGGAATAGACTGCTGCCGGAGGCGGTTCAGGCACCCACTTTGAACGCCTTCAAGATGCATTTGGATGCTTATCTTGCTGGGATCCTATGATCCCTGCTAACTTCCTGCCCCTGGGGCAGGGGGCTGGACTCGATGATCCTCCGGGGTCCCTTCCAGCCCAAACGTCTATGAAATCTATGAAATGACTCAATGTCTAGTTGGCAGCCAGTCTCAAATGGAATGTCCTAGGGCTTATCCTGGGGCCAGTTTAATTCCATATGTCCATCAATGACCTGGAAGAAGGGATGGAGTGCACCCTCAGCAAGCTTGCAGACACCAAGCTGGGGGGAGTAGTAGATATGCTGGAGGGTAGGGCTAGGATTCAGAGTGAGCTAGACAAATTGGAGGATGGGACCAAAAGAAGTCTCATGAGGTTCAACAAGGAAAAGTGCAAAGTCCTGCACATAGGTCAGAACGATCCCATGCACCAGTACAGGCTGGAGGTTGACTGGCCGGGCAGCAGTTCTGCAGAAAAGGACCTGGGGGTTACGTTGGACAATAAGTGGTATATGAGCCAACAAGATGCCCTTGTTGCCAAGAAGGCTAACAGCATACTGGGCTGCATTGGTATACTGGGCTGTTCAGAGGGCAAACAAGACCATCACAAGCCCTAACTAAAAGATCTGTTGACCGACCGATGCTGTTAAGATCTGAGGGTGGAGATGGACATAGTGTAGGAGGTGGTGGAGCTGTGTACTTAGACCCCGACATCAGGGCTGCATACCTAAAGTATGCCTCCCATCCTATATTTTTCCAACAAGTAATACATCAAGATGTGGCAGGCAAGGGTGAGACAGGCTGCTCTTACAGAAGAATACCTTGCTTCTGTTGCAAAGGCAAAAGGAAGATAAAAGAGGAAGTGTTGAAGAAGAATAGACTGATGTGTAAAGAGAGGAAAGGAGAGCAATTACTGAGGGCAACTTTCTCTCTCGCAGAAGAAAGGAAAAAAAAGACCAAACACGTGTAAATGATTTGGGGCTACTGTGTGCACTGGCACACAGAGGCTATCCTCAGGAGGGACTGAGCCTGGGAGCTGTGGGTCCAAGAGCACGAGCTTCCTCTGTCTGAGCCAGGTAGCCAGCCCCTGAGATTGGTAGCCTCAGCCAACTCATAAACTTTGATCGCCCATGGGGAG